TTCCTTCTTTTTTTTTTTAACCCCTTAACTGTCCAAACGTAGATCTGTGTTCTCTCGCCCAGCGCTCCGAATATTTTAAAAAATAAAAAAAAATCTTTTTTTGTTTTTTTGTTTTAAATGAAGACATTTTTTTACGTAAAGTACAGTGGACCCCCGCATAACATTGGCATCGCATAGTGTTAAATCCGCATAGCAATACATTTTATCACTAAAATTTTGCCTCGCATAGTGCTAAAAAATTCGCTCAATGCGATTCGTCCGAGACACGTCCATGCGGCCTGAGCCAGCCTCACTTGTTCTGCCAGTGGCATTGTTTACAAGCCAGCCTCCGCTGTAACATTCAAACATACAATCGGAACTTTTCGTATTATTACAGCCTTTTTATAGTGATTTCACCTGAAAAATAAGTGACCATGGGCCCCAAGAAAGCTTCTAGTGCCAACCCTACAGGAATAAGGGTGGGAATTACTATGGAGATGAAGAAAGAGATCATTGCTAAGTATGAAAGTGGAGTGCGTGTCTCCGAGCTGGCCAGGTTGTATAGTAAACCCCAATCAATCATCGCTTCTATTGTGTCCAAGAGAACGGCAGTCAAGGAAGCTGTTCTTGCCAAAGGTTTAACTGTGCTTTCGAAACAGAGATCACAATTGATAGATGTTGAGAGACTGTTATTGGTGTGGATAAATGAAAAACAGATAGCAGGCGATAGCATCTCTCAAGCGATCATAAGCGAAAAGCTAGGAAGTTGCACGAGGATTTAATTAGAAAAATGCCTGCAACTAGTGGTGATGCGAGTGAATTTAAGGCCAGCAAAGGTTGGTTGAGAGATTTAAGAGGTGTAGTGGCATACATAGTGTGATAAGGCATGGTGAGGCTGCCAGTTCGGACCAAAAAGCAGCTGAAAAATATGTGCATGAATTCAAGGAGTACATAGACAGTGAAGGACTGAAACCTGAATAAGTGTTTAATTGTGACGAAACAGGCCTGTTTTGGAAGAAAATGCCAAGCAGGACCTACATTACTCGGGAGAAAAAGGCACTCCCAGGACATAAGCCTATGAAAGACAGGCTTACTCTTCTCATGTGTGCCAATGCTAGTGGTGATTGCAAAGTGAAGCCTTTATTAGTGTATAACTCTGAAACTCCCAGAGCGTTCAGGCAAAAGAATATCCTCAAGGCTAATTTGTGTGTGCTGTGGAGGGCAAACAATAAGGCATGGGTCACTAGGGACTTTTTCTATGGCTGGTTACACCAAGCATTTGCCCCCACTGTGAAAAATTACCTAACTGAAAAGAAATTATACCTTAAGTGCCTCCTGGTGTTAGACAGTGCCCCTGGTCATCCTACAGACTTGGCAGAGCGACTTCGTGGGGACATGAGCTTCATTAAGGTGAAGTTTTTACCTCCTAATACCACTCCTCTCCTGCAGCCCATGGACCAGCAGGTTATTGCAAACTTCAAAAAACTGTACACAAAAGCTCTGTTTGAAAGGTGCTTTGTAGTGACCTCAGAAACTCAATTGACTCTAAGAGAGTTTTGGAGAGAGCACTTTAATATCCTCAATTGTGTAAACCTTACAGGTAAGGCTTGGGAGGGAGTGACTAAGAGGACCTTGAGCTCTGCTTGGAAGAAACTGTGGCCAGAATGTGTAGACCAAAGGGATTCTGAAGGATTTGAGGCTAACCCTGAGAATCCTATGCCAGTTGAGGAATCAATTGTGGCATTGTGGAAGTCCTTGGGGTTGGAGGTTAGTGGAGAGGACGTGGAAGAGTTGGTGGAGGAGGACAATGAAGAACTAACCACTGATGAGCTGCTAGATCAACTTTCAACAGCAAGAGGCCACACCTGAGGAAATTGCTTCGGAGGAGGGGAGAGAGAAACTGAAGAAGTTGCCTACTTCAAAGATTAAGGAAATCTGTGCAAAGTGGCTTAAAGTGCAAACCTTCATGGATGAAAATCACCCTCAGACAGCTATTGCAAGCCGTGCTGGTGACTATTACACTGACACTGTTGTGAAACACTTTAGGACAGTCATAAAGGAACGAGAGGTACAGGCCACTATGGACAGATATGTTGTGCGACAGAAATCCAGTGACTGAAGCTGGTCCTAGTGGCATTAAAAGAAGAAGGGAAGCAACCCCGGAAAAGGACTTGACACCTCAAGTTCTAATGGAAGGGGATTCCCCTTCTAAACACTAAAACCATCCAGTCTCCCCTCCTCCCATCCCATCAATCATCACCACATCTTCAATAAAGGTAAGTGTCATGTAACTGTGCATGTTTTCTTAAGTTTGTGTGTATTAAAATTAATATTTCATGTGGTAAATTTTTTTTTTTTTTAATACTTTTGGGTGTCTTGCATGAATTAATTTGATTTCCATTACAATGGAACCTCAAATATCGAACTTTCTTCGGTCCAGAAGGCTGTTCGAGTGCCATTACCGAATGAATTTATTCCCTTCAGGAATAATGTAAATTAGATTAGTCCATTTCAGACCCTCAAAAATACACTTATAAAAGCACTTACAAAAATACACTTACATAATTGGTTGTGTTGGGAGCAGTTCGATTTTTGAGGTTCTACTGTATTTCTTATGGGGAAAATTAATTCGCATAACGATAATTTCGCATAACATTGAGCTCTCAGGAACGGATTAATAGCGTTATGTGGTCCACTGTAATGTGAAAAAAAAAAATTCTAGAGTCAGTACTTGTATAGATGTAAGGCCGCAAAGTCGGGACTTGTCACTCATCTGACTGCAACATGAAGCACTGCCGCTTGTAGATGTGTTGCCGATATACCTTCTTATCTCATTTTTTTTTTTAATTTGTATAATTTTTATGTTCTGATAATGACAATTTGTAGTAGTTCTTGTGATTTCATAGTTAATCTTTGTTCTTATACTAATATTAGGTACTGAAATAGTGCTGAAATAGTCACAAACACAGTGACAGGTGAACATTTTTACCTACCTTAGTCACATACTATTGTCTAGAAATATATACATAGTACAGTGGACCCCCGGTTTACGATATTATTTCATACCAGAAGTATGTTCAGGTGCCAGTACTGACCGAATTTGTTCCCATAAGGAATATTGTGAATTAGATTAGTCCATTTCAGACCCCAAACATACACATACAAACGCACTTACATAAATACACTTACATAATTGGTCGCATTGGGAGCTGATAGTAAAGCGGGGGTCCACTGTATTTATAGGTCCCAGCAATGTTTGGGATACACTGGAGTATATAATAATAATAATAATAATAATAATAAATATAGTAATAATAATTTCCCTTCAAGCTTGATGTAAGTGTGTCACTTATCTCTTCACTGCTGACAATGATGAAGGTCGTCTTATCTAATCTTATCTCTCCACTAATGACAGTGGTGACATTTGATGAGCCTTCGCTTTATTTGTTTTCACTCTTACACATAAATATGTCTGTCTGTCTGTCTCAAGAGTTGCCCACGATCCAGCTGGTATTACACACGATCACTATCTACAAGCTTAGTACAGCACTTTGTCTGGATTTTTGGGGTTATCCTAGGTAATTTACACTATGTATAATTGTATTTACATATGTGTTCCTGTGAGATAGAGACAGATATGGAGACAGAGATAGATACAGACAGACAGAGATAGAGACAGCCAATCAGCCAGCCAGCTAGCCAGCCAGCTGCTGGTTAGCCAGCTGGCCAGTCAGCCTTCCGAAATTACAGTTCCAGAATAGCGCTTTGTCTGAATTTTTTTGGGTTATCCTAGGTAATTTACACTGTATAATTGTATTTACGTATGTGTTCATGCGAGATAGAGACAGAGATAGATACAGACAGACAGATGGAGATAGACACAGTCAGTCAGTCAGCCAGCTGCCGGCTAGCTAGCTGGCCAGCCAGCCTGCCGAAATTACAGTTCCTGACTTGTTTCTTTTTACTTAGGGCATAAGTTATAGGACATTCTGGCAAGATGACACCTTCCTCTTAAAAGGGGAGTGTTAATACAACATGACATCAGTGAATCCTTGGTGTTTGCCGTGCTGTTTGCTCTAGCTGGTGCTCAACTGAGCCGGTGCTTCCACAAGGTACTAAATGGTCCCAGATTTTTTTAATACAGCGCACACCGAGGGTTAAGACCCATTCTCTGCTGACCAGGCATCTTAGGCCAATTGTGCCAAATTTGGAGACAGGAAAAATAAAATGTAGGTCTACGTTTGGAGTGCTAGTGGTAAGAACGTAGATCTACATTTGGACAGTCAAGGGGTTAACCAGTTTATCTTTCACTTTTCTTTCACCAACAAACTTATGATAATTAGAGTGCTGTTTGTTCAAGGAATCTCTAGGTCCATTTTGTTTATTGAATGTTGGTCTGGGTTTATAACCTTGTATCAAACTTTTATATGATCCTGAATAACAGCTGTATAATGTTGCTGAATGTAAATAATGGAGTCAGGCTAAATGAAGGCTAGTTTGCTAGTCCAGTTTTTGTTGTTGAATTTCAAATTGTTTACCCTCATGATCAGGTGAATGTCTTGACCCGTGGAGAGTGTCTCCTGACCTCTTCAAAGATAAGAACATTAGACCTGGTAACTGTCCCCTGGTTAAAAGAAGAGCATCTGCTATTTCCAAGGTATGTTTACTTATAACTGCTATTACCATACCTCCCTCCATGTACTAATATTTTTTTACATGCATGCATGCACTCACACTCGCATTCACTCACTCTCTCTCTCTTTCTCACTCTCACACACTCGCTCTCTCACACTCGCACACACTTGCTCTCTCTCACACTCGCTCTCTTGCACACACTCGCTCTCTCGCACACACACTCTCACACTCGCACACACTCGCTCTCTCACACACTCCACTCTCACACACTCACTCACTCACTCTCACACACTCATCACACACTCACTCACTCACCACACTCACACTCTCACACACTCACAAACTCACTACTCTCACACACACACCACACACACACACACACACACACACACACACACACACACACACACACACACACACACCTCACACACACACACACACACACAATTCACACACACACATCACACATACTCTCACACACACACACACACACACACTCACACTCACTCACACACTCTCACACTCTCATACACACACACACACACACATTCTCACACACTCTCACACTCACACTCTCTCACACTCTCACACTCACACACTCACACACTCTCACACTCTCACACACTCTCACTCTCACACACACACACACACACACACACACACACACACACTCACACACACTGAGAGAGGGAGCAGAGGCACTATGTGTACCCCTAACAACAATATTCAATACATCTATCGAAACAGGGAGATTGCCTGAGGCATGGAAGACAGCAAATGTGGTGCCAATCTTTAAAAAAGGAGACAGACATGAAGCACTAAACTACAGACCAGTGTCACTGACATGTATAGCATGCAAAATCATGGAAAAGATTGTCAGGAGAAGAGTGGTGGAACATCTAGAAAGGAATGATCTCATCACCAGCAGACAACATGGTTTCAGAGACGGGAAATCCTGTGTCACAAACCTACTGGAGTTCTATGACATGGTGACAGCAGTAAGAGAAGAGAGAGAGGGGTGGGTGGATTGCATATTCTTAGACTGCAGGAAGGCGTTTGACACAGTACCACACAAGAGATTAGTGCAAAAACTGGAGGACCAAGCAGAAATAACAGGGAAGGCACTGCAATGGATCAGGGAATACTTGTCAGGAAGACAGCAGCGAGTAATGGTACGAGGCGAGGTGTCAGAGTGGGCACCTGTGACCAGTGGGGTCCCACAGGGGTCAGTCCTAGGACCAGTGCTGTTTCTGGTATTTGTAAACGACATGACGGAAGGAATAAACTCCGAGGTGTCACTGTTTGCAGATGACGTGAAGTTGATGAGAAGAGTTCATTCGATCGAAGACCAGGCAGAAATACAAAGGGATCTGGACAGGCTGCAGACCTGGTCCAGCAACTGGCTCCTGGAGTTCAATCCCACCAAGTGCAAAGTCATGAGGATTGGGGAAGGGCAAAGAAGACCGCAGATGGAGTACAGTCTAGGGGGTCAGAGACTACAAACATCACTCAAGGAAAAAGATCTTGGGGTGAGTATAACACCAGGCACATCTCCTGAAGCGCACATCAACCAAATAACTTGCTGCAGCATATGGGCGCCTAGCAAAACCTCAAACAGCATTCCGACATCTTTAATAAGGAATCGTTCAGGACCCTATACACTGTGTACGTTAGGCCCATATGGAGTATGCGCACAGTTTGGAACCCACACCTAGCCAAGCAAATGTAAAGAAACTAAGAAAGTGCAAAGGATTGCAACAAACGAGACCCAGAGCTAAGAGGTATGTCCTATAGGAGAGGGTTAGGGAAATCAACCGACGACACTGGAGGACAGGAGAGATAGGGGGGGGGACATGATAACAGACTACAAATACTGAGAGGAATTGACAAGGTGTACAAAGACAGGAGGCCATATACTGGACAAAGTAACTACGTGGACACAGTTTGGAATTAAGACACAGATGAATCAAAGGGAGTTAGGAAGTATTTCTTCAGCCACAGAGTAGTCAGGAAGTGGAATAGTTTGGGAAGTCGAGTAGTGGATCAGGATCCATACATAGCTTTAAGCATAGGTACGATGAAAGCTCACATGGTTCAGGAGAATGACCTAGTAGCGACCAGTGAAGAGGCGGGCCAGACTTTGACTCGACCCCTGGCAACCTCAACTAAAGTGATACAAACTTAAAAGGTTGGAGTAACGACACACACCACACACACACACCACACACACACACACACACAACACACACACACACACACAACACACAACACAAACAACACAACACACAACACACACACATATATAATATACCCTTAAGTCAATGTGCCTGACCGACTAGGTTGGGTGCATTGGCTAAGCCGGTAGGGACTTGGACCTGCTCGCAGTGGCCAGTAGGCCTTCTTGCAGTGTTTTCCCTTCTGTTCTTTATGTTTCTTATATAACTATATTTATTATCACAGTGGCCGATACCCACCAAGGCATGGTGGCCCGAAAAAGAAAAACTTTCACCATCATTCACTTCCATCACTGTCTTGCCATCAAGGGTTGCTTATACCTACAGTTTTTAAACTGCAAACATTTAACACCCCGCCCTTCACAGGAAGCAGGCACAGTACTTCCCATGTCCTGACACAAGCCGCCTGCGGTTTTCCTCCTGAATCCCTCATAAATGTTACTTTGCTCACACTCCCAACAGCACGTCAAGTATAAAAACCATTTGCCTCCATTCACTCCTATCAAACAACGCTCATGCATCCTGCTGTGAAGTCCAAGCCCCCTCCGACACACAAAACCTCCTTTAACCCCCACCCTCCAACCTTTCCTAGGCCGACCCCTACCCTCCTTCCTTCCTGTACAGACTGATACACTCATGAAGTCATTCTTTTTTGCTCCATTCACTCTACATGTCCGAACCGCCTCAACAACCCTTCCTCACCTCTGGACTACAGTTTTTGGTAATCCCGCACCTCCTCCTATCTTCCAAAACTACGAATTTCTCTGCATTATATTCACACTTCCACACTTGCCCTCAGACATGGCATCTCCAAATACTGCCTCCAGCCTTCTCCTCGCTGCAAACATTCATCACCCATGCTTCACACTCCTTATAGAGCGCTTTTTTGGTAAAACTATGCCTCATACATTCCCCTCTTTGCCTCAAGGACAAAGTTCTTTGTCTCCACAGACGTCCTAAGTGCACACTCACGCTTTTTCCCTCATCCATTCAATGATTCCCTCATCTTCATAGACCCATCCGCTGACACGACCCTCCCAAATATCTGAATACGTGTCACCCCTCCATCTCTCTCCCTCCAATCTGATATCCAATCTTTCATCGACCTAATCTTTTTGTTATCCGCATAACCTTACTGAACTCTTTCCTGTATTCACCTTTAAGTTTCTTCTTGGATCACCCTCCAAATTCATCCACCAATCGTCAGCAACTTCTCTTCAGACTCCCAAGAGCACAGTGTCATCAGCAAGAGCAGCTGTGACAACTCAACTTGTGTGTGATCTTATCCTTTAACTCCACGCCTCTTGTCAAGACCACGCGATTTACTTCTCTTACAACCCCATCTATAAATAAAATTAAACACATCCATGTCTAAGGCCTACTTTTTAAACTGGGAATAATTTCCCTCTTTCCGTACATACTCAACTTGGAGCCACACTATCCTCGTAAAAACTCTTCACTGCTTTCAGTAACCTACCTCCTACACCATACACTTGCAACATCTGCCACATTGCCCCCCTATCCCACCCTGTCCATACGCCTTTTCCAAATCCATAAATGCCACAAAGGACCTCTTTACCTATCTAAATACTGATCACTTATATGTTTCACAGAAACACCTGGACCCACACACCCCCCTACCTCTCCTAAAGCCTCCTTGTTTCATCTGCTATCCTAATCTATTCTCAGTCTTACTCATAATTCTTTCAATTATAACCCTACCATACACTTACCAGGTATACTCAACAGATATCTATCCCCTATATTATTTGCAACTCTCTTTATCCCCCCTTTGGCCTTTATACAAAGGAACTGCATCTCCTCTGCCAGTTCCCTATTACCTTAACCTCTCCTATACATTATTAAATCATTGCACCAACCATCCCCAAAACTAATCCCCACCGCTTTACATTTCTATCTTTATCCATCAATCCCGGCTGCCTACCCCCTTTTTACATTGTACCTCTGCCTCACGAACTTCCCCCACACTCACACTGGCTCTTCCTCACTCCTACAAGATGTTAAAATTTCCTCCTTGCCCTATACACGAAATCACAGATTCCCTATCTTCATTAACATTTAACACTCCTCAAAATATTCCCTCCATCTCCCAATACCTCCCCTAACTCCTCATTTAATAACTCTCCACACTTCTCCTATGTTTTACTGACAATCCATTTGTTTCTCTAGCTTCCTTAACTTGTTAATCTCACTCCAAAACTTTTCTATTTTCAACAAAATTTGTTTATAACATCACACCCACTCTCTCATTTGCTCTCTTTTTACATTGCTCACCACTATCTTAACCTCTCTCTTTCACCATATACTCTTCCCATCCTTGCATCACTTCTACTTTGTAAAAACTTCTCATATGCAAACTTTTTCTCCCTTACTACCCTCTTTACATCATCATTCCACCAATCGCTCCTCTTCCCTCCTGCCAACCCACTTTCCTGTAACCACCAAACACTGCTTACCACACTAACACGACATTTTAAACTACCCTCATACCTCTTCGACCCCATTGCCTATGCTCTCTTTAGCCCATCTTCCCAATAGCTGTTTATGATCTTACCCTAACAGACTCGCACTTTAGTTTATAAACCTTCACCTCTCACTTCCCTGAGCTCTATTCTCCTTGTATCCATCTAACCTTTACTCTCAGTGTAGCTACAACAAAAAGTGGATCTGATATATCTGTGGCCCCTCTCTATAAACCATGTACATCCTGAAGTCTACTCAAAAACAGTCCTTTTATCTAACCAATACTAATCCCAACAAACTAACT